CACCTCGTTGGTCGATTGGTCCCAAACATGGTGTCCTTTTGCTTTGCCAAAAGCAACCAAAAGGGGTTCCCCAGAAGAAACAAAACACACACAGCTGACAAATGTTGTCTCTCGAAGTGGGCGTGCACACAAGGTGCGGTCCCCATGTTGATATGCCTTTTTTTTCTGTAGAAAATTGAATGTCAGAATGTCATCCACTTCTGCTATGTTCACGAGTTCACGCATTCGCATTTCACAGGGCATCTCAGAGGCGGGCTGTCCATGCGATCTTGCCCGCTCTCGATTGCGAAGTAGCGCAATCTGACAATGACAAAAAAGGAAAGGCAGCCAAGGAACTATACCTCTTTCAACCCCGTGGCTTGGCAGTCGTTATGACCGCTACGCATGCCTCCATGGGCACATCCACCCACAGCAGCTCCGTCCAGTAGCCTGTGGCATCGCTCAGCATCAAATGCGCGCACTTGTCCATGCAAATTGCGCAAGTGAAAAGGGTGAATGCACTGGGGGGGTTCCAAATAGGGGACCCAAAAAGTGGCTGGCTTCTTTTAGGACTCTCTTGAATCCCTGTCAGGAAGCGCACTTGCCCTTCACATTCCATCGGCCTGCACAGCGAGCCGTTTCGAGTCGCCGCGCCAGCCACTGCCTCGGGAAGCCGGAAACGTCACAGAGGCTCCATCCGTCGCACAGTCTGCTTCCCTAAATAACTTCGGCTGCGGCGAATTGGAGCCTGAAGAATCAAAGAGGACATTGGGCCTCCTCCAAGCAGCAAAATTGTCACAGCATGCGGCGCGAATTATCTTTTGCAAACGCTTGCTTTGGCCGATAATTCTGAAAGGGGAATGGGGCAGACAAGGATTAAACGCTCATTAAGGGTCCCGATTTTGGTTGGGTCCTTGGATCGTGTACCGCCTCTTCGAAAGCATCCACGGCTCGTCTGACCTCGGCCGGAGGCTCAGTGGCTTCCATGTCCGGGCCATGGCATGGTTCTCCCAGAAATCCCACTACTGTGTTAACCAAACTAAATCATCCGGCCTTTGTGCTGTCCCCAAGTCTCGAACACATGCAAGCGAAAGGCGAACCGACCCTGCGAAACAGCATCCTGATCTTGAGGCGTGTTAAAACTGGGACGAAAGGTCGTTTTCGGTCAAACACATTCCAGCATTGAACTCCAGCTTTGACACATACTCGAAGACAACCTCTATCTGAGAGTCCTTTTTGCAGGGAACCCTTTTTGTACTTTGTGCAAGGAAAGCCAATTTGACGCCACTCATTCAAGATCCATATAGCGTAGAGGGCCAGGCGCTCCAGCGATGGACCTCGGTGTCGGTGTCCTGTCAAATGGCCGCCCTCTTCGCTAGGCATGTTTTGGGGTTTAGCTTCCCGGTTGATGAGTGCATAAAGCCAGGAAGCCATTCCAAAACTGCAAACTCTTCATTTGGTAACGTGGTTTCCTTCTTGTGGAAGGCAAGCCACCAGCAAACCGTTGCCATGTCAAGGGTCAAAATGGGTCAATTGGAATCCCCATCCTCGCCCATGGCGTCGGAGAACTGCTTGTGGAAGCGCTTCAGCTGATCCGGCTCCACGTTTACCTGAGCAGAGTTCAGCCAAAGCCCAAGGAACAACTGGCCATGATTTTACCGCCCGCCAAATCAGCCGCAAGGAGAAAGGACATAATGCACAGGACAGGGTTCGCTGAGCCGGCAGCAAAGAATTCTTTCCGCATCCGATCTTTCTTGACCTGAGAGTGGCCATCCCGCCAGCTAACCCGGCTAATTTCCAGAGCTGCGGGCTGTTGTCTTCCCTGCTCCAGGCCTCGCGGCAGTATTCAAAGCGTCTTGTTCTCCAAAATGCCTCAGGGCTTAGGTCCCAAACAATCCCATGAGGAAGAGCGCTTTGGACTTCTTGTGACCTAGCACGCGCGCCAAATGATCCGCAAGGCCCGAGCCAAAGCAAAGGGCCTCCTTGGTTTCGGTCACGCGCCTCCAAGAAAAGCCAATACACACGAAAGTGTTTGGCTTTCATTACTGCGTGGGTAGGGCGAAGAAGCACCAACGTGCTCATGAAGGCAGCTCTGCTCTGCCCATCGCTCCTCGCGAGAAACGTCTCGCCGCGGCCGAAGCTGGATCTCCTGATCTCTGGCACCTGAGTGCTCACTCACTCACTCACTCACTCACTCACTCACTCACTCACTCACTCACTCACTCACTCACTCACTCACTCACTCACTCACTCACTCACTCACTCACTCACACCCACCCACTCACTCACTCACTCACTCCCCCCCTCCCTCCCTCCCTCACACTCACACTCACACTCACACTCACACTCACACTCACACTCACACTCACACTCACACTCTCACTCTCACTCTCACTCTCACTCTCACTCTCAGTCTCACTCTCAGTCTCACTCTCACTCTCACTCTCACACTCACACTCACACTCACACTCACACTCACACTCAGACTCAGACTCACACTCACACTCACGCTCACACTCTCACTCTCACTCTCACTCTCACTCTCACTCTCACTCTCACTCACACACTCACACTCACACTCACACTCACACTCACACTCAGACTCAGACTCACACTCACACTCACGCTCACTCACTCACTCACTCTCACTCTCACTCACTCACTCACTCACTCACTCACTCACTCACTCACTCACTCACTCACTCACTCACTCACTCACTCACTCACTCACTCACTCACTCACTCACTCACTCACTCACTCACTCACTCACTCACTCACTCACTCACTCACTCACTCACTCACTCACTCACTCACTCACTCACTCACTCACTCACTCACTCACTCACTCACTCACTCACTCACTCCTTCCCTCCCTCCCTCCCTCCCTCCCTCCCTCCCTCACTCACTCACTCACTCACTCACTCACTCACTCAATGTCGAGCGGCCCCGTTTTGCGTGACAGGCGCAGCACTTTGGGGATGCGCAGCTTTTTCTGCATCTGGGTGTGTGCTTGCATGGCTTTGGCAGCTGTCCTAAACGGACTGGATGTTGTTGAGCGCGCAGCTGGGGGCTTCGTTTTGCGTAACTGGCACAGCGCTTTGGAAATGACTTTGTGGCGAATTTTCGGCATCTGGGTGTATGCTTGCGCGGCAGGGCAGCATTTGGCAGCTGTCTAAAGGGACTGGATGTTGTCAAGCGCGCGGCTGCGGGCCCGTTTTGCCTGACAGGCGCAGCACTTTGGAGATGGCTTGCAGAGTTCGTGGCAGGCATCTGGGTGTGCGCTTGCATGGCATTTGGCAGCTGTCCTAAAGGGACTGGATGTTGTCGAGCGCGCGGCTGGGGACTTCGTTTTGCGTAGCTGGTACAGCACTTGGCGGCCGGGAGACGGCTTGCAGATTTCGTGGCACGCGCAGCATTTTCTGCTTCTGGGTGTGGTTTCATGGCAGGGGCAGCATTTGGCAGCTGTCTACAGGGTCCCCGCGGCTTTCCATGCTTTTATTGCACGATCACCAAATACAACATTCACTGTAAAAATGCACATGTGGGGTCATCCGATCGATTAATTAATCCTCAACAGTTTCTTTTTTGACCCTGAAATAACTTGTTTTTGACGCGCGTGCGTCGCGGCTGCCCTGCTCAAGCTGCGGGCTCTGCGATAAGTTCTGTCACAGCTTCTTGTCACAGCTATCTGTCATGTCAAATTTTCTTTATTTCTGTCACGGTCGGGTCTGACAACTGACAGTGGCAGTACAGAATAGGGGCAGGGTGATATCCCCAACAGCATGAGGCGAGCTTTGCCGAAGACCACTGACCGCGGCGCACCTGCCACGAATCCGTGCTCAACCTTGCGAAAGCGTTGCGCTTGCCTCAGAGTCCGCACCTGACTTCTGCGCCTGCCATGCAATCAGCACTTGACCTTGCGAAGGCGCTGAGCCGCCACGAAATCTGCCCGCGCCCATTCACACGTCTGTACCAGCACGCCACGCAATCTGCGCCTGAGTCTGCAACAGCGCTGCGCCTGTCACATAAAACTAACGTCGCGAAAAGCGTGCGCGTCCAAAGCAAACAGGCCCTGGCCCCAAACCATTCCGACCGCTCCAACCCGTTGCCCGTCAGGGCTCGACTGAGGTAGCTTTGAGCCCGCCGCTGATGCCAAACCACGCAGAGGATCACTCTGTTTTGCGATTTCTATTCCCCCACCACATGCGCACGTACGCTGTCTCGCACGTGCTCATTCTTTCTTCATGTTAGCTTTGCGCAAGACTGCCTCTCAATTAGTGTCGCTAAACACAGAAGTTCCTTCTAAGCGTCCGTATAACAAAAAAATGTAAGAACACGTAAAATGGACAAAAGGACTGCTTCAGCTGGCGCCCCTGGCTGGCCGATCGGCGAGACGTTCTGCTCCTTCGGGCCACACTGCAAAATCATATCTGAGGCAGATATTTTGCACGAAAAGGTGCAGAAGTGATGCGCTGCCCGCCATGGTTCCGCGGACAGGCGCCCCACTTCTTGCTGCAACACACGTCGCTTTGCATCTCCCTGCCTCCTTCTTCGAGACGCCTGTCGCGACCTCAATCGGAGCCTGGCCATGGAACAGCACACCCAAGCGTTGATCTCGGCAAGCGACTTGCTCTGCTTTTCGAGACGCAAGTCTTCATAGCCCCTACTCTATACTCATACCATGTCTCGCTTGCGGCCCGTCCCGTCCTTTGCGGCTCCCGGCTGCTTGGCCGACCTCCAAAACCAGGGTGGCACCGTCACGGTGTAAGGTTGCCGAGGCGCGGACTCATCGTGGGGTCTCGTTGGGACAGCGGCTTCGCTTCACGAAGCAACTCTGAGGCGAGCTTCAGTTCAGCGACCGAGGCCGCTATCCCAACGAAACCGCTATCTCTACACTGCCCTCATGGCTTGAGCATCAATCAAGCGAACCTGCATGCTTCTGAATTTGTTTGAATGTGTTTGCCCCTGACATCTCTCTCGGCACGACTCATCAGAGAGCACTTGGCGGCGCGCGGCATTTCTGATTCTAAGTAGATCAACACTTGCAATGTTGCAATGCTTGCTAAACTGCCTCTTCCCATTAGGGATTGTGCTTGGAAGCGTGTTCTGTGCGACTACACGGTGGCATCTTCGATGCATGTCGGGGTGCGCCATCAGGAACGCGACAACTCAATGCACTCTCGGAACCACAGACTGTGGAAAGCGCTACCAGAGACAACTTGCCAACTTGGTTGGCAAGCTGCGGATTAATTGTTGCGGCATCATTGTCTACCACATTCAATTCGACGCATGTGTATGTTCCTATCACACTGTAAATCCGCCAAATAGCCTGCTGAACATCAAAGGCGCAAATACTTGGACCTTGGACCGTCAATCCTCTGAGCATGCAGCAATATTCCAACGAAGGCCAGCAAATAGCCCGGAAAAGTAAACCTGCAAGCAAAGCGGCTCAGAAAATCAGAAACTTAGCTATGGCCCTTTGAGTCTCTCCGTGTTGCAAAATGTGACTTTCTGCAAGTACGCCTGGCTGCCCCAGATATGGTAGCCCTGGTCTCGTTCCAGTCCATGATCTCCTGAATCAACCCGATGTGGGATTGTCGCAAAATAGGGGCACCACTGTGATCCTAGCGGGCAAGTCATTGCAGTACAGGCATCATCAAAATTCATGAAGCCTCTATTCAACATCGCTCCTTTCAGCCTCTAAGATTCTAAGCCTGCATATCCGTCTAAGCCTCTGTAATTATGCCTTTAAGCCTTTGCAAACCTCCAAAACCTCTTTACGCCTGCAAGCTTCTCATTGTGGCGTGTGCTGTGTTCCTTTGACGAACACTTGGTTGGCGAGCTTATGTTTCATCGTTGCCTGGCCTGTGCTCAAAGAAATAGGCTGATCGGTGCTTGGAGGTTTGGGCGCTTTGGCCTTGGCGTCTCTGTTCGATTTACACCTGCCCGTCCTACTTCTATAAACCATCCGGGAAACTTTAACTTGGTGACGTCCCTCAAAAAGGTCAAAAAAGGTGCCCTCAAAAACCAAATCAATATGGGGCCCTAACAATAAAAAAAAAATAACAAAACCTCAGTCGCCAAAATGCACGGTGTCAGCAACACACGGACAAACACGTCTGCCAACAACTCCCGCCCCCCCCCCCAAAAAAAAAAAAAAAGAAAAGAAGAGCTCTACTGCTGGATCTTTCCTACTACTCCACAAACATGTGAATTCACAGACGTTTGGCTATGGATTTCAACCATTTCGCTCAACCCATGCAAGCGAGAAAGTGTTGTTTGAACCGAAACTAACACGTTCTCTCAAGAACACGTTTCTACAACTGCGCATTCTGTTGGGAAGCCAAAAAAAAACGCAAGGAAGAAACATTGTGGAAACCCCCGGGTTTAGGGAACTTTGCCCAAAACCCAAAAAGGTTCATTTCAATAACCGTCCGCTGAGGTCTTGGCAGAGGTTACCTCGCCCAGCGGCAGGAAACCGAAGGACGTGTTCACCCGCACCTCGAGTGTTTGTCTCCAAACGGGTGAACATCAAACCCCGAAAAAAAGAAAAAAATGGTGTCCCATCAAACCCAGAAAGGGTGCTCTCAATCGCACACCAAACGAAGCCTCAAGTGCTCTCATTTTGCTAGAAGCCTAGAAGCAAAGCCAAAAATAACAAGGTCAAGCCACAAAGCCACCAAGCCACAAAACATATCAAGAAGGGCAAAGCATCGATGCCACGGAAGGGGCTCTTGTAAACTTTGCTTCCCATGGCTATGGGCTCAACCCCACTAAAGCGGCGCTCAGTTCCGCAACAACGGTCCGCTACATTCTAGCCTTCCGTCGAGCCTCGCGAACCGATTTGCTTCGCTTCAGAAAAGGTGCTAAGGCTAACGAAAATTGCCAACGGTCCTATCAGTGCTGCGACGTCCGCGACACTCAGAAGCAACAAACACCTTGACCCTCTGACCGTGAAGAGTGCTGAACCCATTGACAAGCGATCGCAATACTTAAGCGCGCTTGTCAGGCAGGAAATTGGAGTGTGAGCGATACTGATTGGTTCAGGTTGGCGGTCTTCAAGAGAATGCGACAAAGTCAAGGGAATGACACCAAAAGTCGAGTAAGTGCTGGTTCCCAGGAAATCATTACAGTGCCATCCGGACTGCTTGTCACTTGACCCACCAAATTGTAATTTAAGCCTCTGAGGAGCAGGCCGAGAGTATGACACTGGTATAACCAGGCGGCACGTCAAACCTGCAAGCGGAACCGCGCAAACTTTCGCCCGCTGTGGTCAAGCCCCCCTGCAATCTGAGTACTCTGCGAAATGCTTGTTTGATAAGCATTCCTTGGTTGCTCGGGCTGCAGCACAAGGGCATCGCGAGGAAGCTATGTCATCAAGAATGTCTGTGTTCAAACCCATCAGCCGGGCGTTGTGCATTGTGCAGCACCGATCGTCGTAGGGATAGGGATCCCTTGGAAATGCCCAGCGCGACGCAGAATATGTGCCGTATGCGCCCCATCAACTGAAACCTGCTGCTTGGTGAGCTCGGCGCATTTTCGGCACATAACCAACTTCATCTCTTTGTAGAGGCCTTGCCAATTATCCAAAACATACTTTACGCACGTCTGCATGCGCATATTTGAATAAGACTCAAAATGGAGGGAACTCTTTTGGCTGTTTCACGGGGAAACCAAAGGGACAAACAAACACCTGAAGAGGTTCCCTCATTTTGAGACTGATCCAGAAATACAGATCACTCACGCACAAGGAAGAGGCCCAGACCTGCTGCAGTTGTCCGCAAGGAAAATTCCGTAGCCAAAAATGTCCGACTCGTCCACCGCCCCGAGGATCCTTAACCAATGCACGCTCAACCCTAGCAGCCTAGAACGGCACAAGGAATCTGAGGCTGTGGCGCATTTGCACCGAATTCCAAGCCTGGATGCCGGAGCTAATACTTATTCCCAGCGAAGCAAAAATGTTTGAAGCCATACTAAATGATAGTGCATGACCACATCTGTGGCCAAGCTACATGTCAAAGGCCCCTCTTTGACAAAGGCCAAAGATTAGAACAAGAACTTACCAGGAAACTGAAAACAATGTTCTTGGGGCCCCTTATCAAGAGAGAAGAGATTGAGAGACGTAACCATGAAAAGCCGTCTCAAACATTCTAACCACCCATCTTAATGACTTGATACAAATGCCAAGGGTGAATCAAACAACGCAAGTGCCACAGTGCCCTGCCAAGATTCTCTCAAATGGTAATGGATGCGAACACGGCAACTGTTTGAACAAGTGCAAGACTTAGAGTATACATTTCTGTAGAATGGTATGCAATACGTACGCAGCATTCTTAAATTGATGTGGCCCCTCTAAGCCTCAACAAAGAATACAAAAGGGCGCCCAACACCTCAGAAGAATGCGCAAATGCAGAACTTACTTCCTCATATGTAAGTCGTTTCGGGTCCAATGTTTGAGGCATCTTTGGAAGGAATCAAACACAATAAACGTTGCTTTGAAGCAGAAAACGTCGCTTTCAAGCACGCAAAGCAAACTTGTCTTGAAGACTACATGTCCTCAAAACTCTAATTCTAAGCCTTGAGTCCAGGCCAGCACACTTCAACGTGCCGGCTTTCATCACAACATCATGTATATCTTTACTGGTAAAATAGAAACAAAATGTGTCTTCCTCATAAAGTGCCAACATGCGATAGTACGTCTTGGCCTGCAAAATGAAGATTCAAGATTCTCAGAACGTTTGGTTTCGAAGCTTCAACCCAGCACGTGCGAACACATCCTAGGCATAAGGTTGAAGATTGAAGATTCTAACCACGACTATCTGGGAATCCTTAACTCAGGATGTGCCACCAGGATGTGCTGCCAGAATGCGTCAGCACAAGCTAGCGCGCTAGCACGTGCTAGCGCATCCCATTAGAGCATCATGGGTTGACATTCTCCAGGCAATTCTGAGAATGGTCCATCTTTCATCTTCAATTCAACCCAGGATGCAATAGTTCGCGCTATCACATCCCGAATGCACATCCTGGATCGAAGATTAAAGATTGACATGGTAAATCTAGATTGTGCTGCACGTGCTAGCACATCCCGTTCCGTTAGCACATCATGGGCTGAAGATTCCCAGGCAAAATCTCTGATTTACGCCAATCTTCAATCCAGGATGGGTTTAGAACGTGCTGGCACATTCCGGTAGCTCATCCTGGGTTAAACATTCCCAGAACAAGGACCTGCTGGCGAATGCAAGCATACCCTGTTAAGCCTGAGAAGGTGGACCAACTCAAGATGCAAACATTGAGGTGCAAAGAAAGGTGCATTGTCCCAGCTTATATACATTGCATTACATTGCAGTATCTATAATGAGGAGATGCTCGGGCGCGAGCTGACAGCTATGCGGCCTTGGCTCCATGCAAGGGTTTTGCAATCAGCGCAGCTTTCCGCGGACGCCGCGCAGAAGCAGCAACTTGGCCGCTTGCCCCCTGTGGGGTCTGTGTCTTCCCAGTCCGTATGGCCAAAGCCGCATATTCTGCACCTGCAGCCAGCGTGGAAAAATCGCCTTAAAAAGAAGCATGAAGAGGACAGAATCGATCGGTCCTGGAATAAAAGCTGGGTGCTGATTATTTATGACAAGGAAAAATGACAAATTGCCATCCCCTTGTTGCGTCTAGGGGAAATTAACAAGCGTCACTTATACCATAGAGAAGCATTTGGGCTCCACCGCCGCTGGAAAGGTGCTTATCTTCCAAGGCGGGGCTCTGGAAGGGTTCTAAGAACCTTTGTGGTGGGCAGGGGGCCCTTAGTATTCTGGTGATTCATCAAACTCTTCTCGCTCGCAACCAACGCCATTTACCATGCCAGGTATGGCTTGAGGCGCAGACTTTGTCCGGAAAATACCGCTCCTTGGCATGCGCAAGATCACTCGAGAATATCAAACTCCTCATATGGGACCCTAAAAATCATGCCATATACACAACACACGCATACACAAAGGCAGTGTGTGCATATATATATATATATATATAAATATACATACACATACATATATATATATATATACATACGTGTATATATATACATATACTCGGGTAGTGTATATGGTGCCCCCCCACCTTTCGCGGTGCCCTCTTTTCTCTGTATGTTAGTCAGGATTTTGGCCAAGGCAACGGAAAGGAAAGAAGAAAGGGGTCACTCAGGGAGGAGGGCTACCAGAATTCTGAATACGGGCATTTAGATTTCTGAATACCGGTATTAGACCCGGGATCCAAGATCCAAGATCCTAGATTTGCCGAAGACTGTTGGGAGCAATCATGGATCCATGAGTGATACTCCTGAATTTTAGATACCGTTATTTAGATTTGTAGATACCGGTACTTAGACACCAGGGGGGGATATTGACGGATCCAAGATTTCCCCCACAAGCCCCCCAGCAGTCTTGGATCTTGGGTCCAGGATCTAAATACCGGTATTAGACATCACAAAAACATATCTAGGTTTTAGCGGAGTATATTCATGGAACCAACGAGGGCATTCATGGATCCAGCCCAGGTTGCTGCCAACGGTCCCCCACTATCCTCGGTCTTGGACCTCAAAGCTGTTTTGAGAGGTTTAATTTCAGCAGCCATGACTTCAGGCGGCAAGTCGAAAATGTGTTTCACACTCATTTGCATGGGCCAGCTTCAATGTTGAGTATCCTTAGCCGAGATGCTGCAAAAATATGTCCTGAGTAATTGTGATTCTTGAATCCAGGAAAGACGCGTTTCCTGTTTGTTTCAGGGATACAGTCCCGTTTCTGTAGTTTCTCGGAGTGTCTGGCGACTCTGGCGTGTCTGCCTCTTGCTTGGAACGCGTCTTTTCTCTTAGGAATTGCTTTCTGTCCACAACCAAAGTAAAAGGGCTTCATACACTTTGTCTTAAACTGATCCTATGGTCCTTTTCTAAAATCATGGCGTTGGAGAAAGCTTTCCGAGGCAATTGTGAATCTTGCATCCAGAGAATGCGTTGTTTCTTGTTGTGCATGAGGTACCCGAATTGTATCTTTTTCTCAGGGAAACTTGCTCAGAGAGCTTGCTCAGAGATTTTGCGCAGAGAAACTTGCTCAAGGAGCTTACATTGCACAGAAAGACTCAGCTTCTTCTGTGCCCAAACAAAAACGTGGCTACTTTGCTGTGCGGTCGGACATAATCTTGCCTACAACCGAATAAATTATGCTCTCCGGCCAGGAGTACCTTATTGTCCTTGTGCTGGTCCAGAGACTAGAATTTTTTGGCGCTTCTAGCAGGTCTACAGCTTGATACATTTTGCTTGGAATGTGTTTCCTTGGAATTGTGCAGTGGAATTGCTCTCTGTCCAAAACTGGAGGAAACGCGTCCATACCTCACTGGTAGCAGAGAGCACAGTATGTCTGCTTACGGCTGCTGCACAAATCGTTTAAACACTACAGCCTGTCTGCTCAGACAAAGAAAAATGGTGGCACCTGGGCACCAATAGTCAAAACTTGACAGCGCGCTCAAATCAAGGGTGTCTAAGCATGCACACACACCAAAAAAACAATAAAGCCCATAGTTCCTCCACTCGGACGGTGCTGTAACCCTGAGGAGATTCCAAGGCCAAGCTGATCCATGGGATCGCTCCAAACGGACTACAAGCCAGGGGCCGCCAGTATGCATGGATGTGTGTATATATATATATATATATATATGGCCCCCCCCCCAAAGATCGACCATTTTCTGTGTTTTATCTCTGGTGACACATCCCAGAATCTGCAAGGTCTCGGGCTTCTGGCTTCCCAACTTCATCTTGCATCTGCCTCTTGGCTGCACAGGATGAACATGTTGAAAAAACCCGAAGAAATCAAAAAAAACAAAAAAAATCAAAACAATCAGGGTCCTGGGAGAGAATGCCCAGGTCAGAATCTCGGAAAGTGAATAAACCTCGAAGAAATCAAAAAAAAATCAAAAAAATATAAAAATCAAGGTCCTGGAACAGAATGCCCAGACCCAGTGACTATCTGTCTCTCAAGGCCTTGATTTTTTGATTTTTTGATTTTTTGATTTTCTCGAGGTTTTTCACTTTTCCAGGTCAGAATCTCGGAAAGTAATAAACCTCGAAGAAATCAAAAAAAATCAAAGAAGTATCAAAAAAATCAAGGTCCTGGAACAGAATGCCCAGACCCAGTGGCTATCTCTCTCAAGGCCTTGAATTTTTTATTTTTTTAATATTTTTGATTTTCTCGAGGTTTTCACTTTTCCAGATTATGACCTGGGCATTCTCTCCCAGGACCCTGATTTTTGTTTTTTTTTTGATTTTTTGTTTTTTTTGATTTCTTCGAGGTTTTTGTAGCTTCATGGGTTTCTTGCCCTTCGCCCCTGAGCATCTTCCTTGCAGTGTTGGAGCTTTGGCGTACAGAGCTGCAGTTTTGCAGCCCTGCCAAGTCTGTATTGCAACCAAGGCCTGCAGTGTTGGAACTCTTGTTGGAAATGCCTTGCTTGCCTGTAGTTTGGCAGCCTTGCCATCGCAGCAGGGAAGCCTTCAGTGTTGAAACTTTGGCAGGTGGGGCGCTCAAGTCTTGCAGTGGCCTTAGTGTTCAACTCTTGCCAAGTGGGTTGCAGTTTTGAGCTGGAACCCAGTTTGGCAGCTTGCTTGGGCAGTGTGCTGGAAGTGCCAGTTTGGTGGTGGAAGTCTTGTAGCAGGTGGCAAGAACCCTTGCCAGGGTATTGAAACTTGGCAGGTTGGCAGGTTGCAGTTTTTTGCAGCCTTGCCCTGCAGAATGGCAGCCTTGTTGGAAATTGTGGAATGTTGCGCTGGGCCAGCAACCAAGTTTCAAGCCTTCCTTGTAGTGGGGGAGCTTTGGCAGACAGAGCTCCCAAGTTTGTTTTGCAAACAGGCCTGTGTTGGAACATCTGATTGAACTCGCTTGTCTGTAGTTCAGTGTTGGTGCAGTTGGTTGCAGATTGGATTGGCAATTTTGCAACCTCCAGGTCTGTAGTTTGGCAGCCTTGCTTGGGAAGTCTTGCAGTGTTGAGTTAGCAAGAGGTTGTAGTTTGCAACCTTGCTCTGCAGTTTAGCAGACTGCTTGGCAGGCTTGAAAAGCCTTGCAGTTGGGTGTGCCTGCAGTGTTGGAGCCTTGCAGTTTGGATTTTGCAGCCTTATTTGTAGTTTGGCAGACCTTGCAGCAAGTGGGAAGCCTGCAGTGTTGAAACTTTGGCAGGTTGGCAAGGTTGGCAAGGGCTGTAGTTTTGCAACCCTGCAGTGTTGGAGCCCTTGCAGGTTGGCAATTTTGCAACCTTGCCAGGGCCCTGCAGTTTAGCAGACTTGCTTGGAAAGTCTTGCAGTGTTGGAGCTGGCCCTGCAGCGTTGGAACCTTGCAGGTTTGCAATTTTGCAACCTTGCCAGGTCTGTAGTTTGGCACCTTTCCTTGGGCAGTGCTTTGGCAGGTTGGTAGGGGTTGCAGTTTTGCAAAGCCGTGCAGTGTTGGAGCTGAAGCCCTGCCAAGTCTGTTTTGCAACTAAGGCCTGCAGTGCCTGCAGTTTAGCAGACTTGCTTTGCCAGGTCTGTAGTTTGGCAGCTTTGCTTGGGCAGTGTCTTGGAAACTCTTGAAGTGTTGAAACTTCAGGTTGCCAGGGGCTGCAGTTTTGCAAAGCCTTGCAGTGTTGCAGCCCTGGCAGGTGCGCAATTTTGCAACCGTCCTCAACAACACTGCACTTGAATGCCGACCCCAGCATATGCACATCTGTTTCTTGCAATAATGCACCGCATCTTTCTCAAAACACAGAAAATGGTCGATCTTTGGGGGGGGGATAGCATATATATATATATATGATGTATACATGTGAAATCGTGGGACTGCGGTGGCTCACATTTGGATGGCCTTAACATTCCAGGTCCGCTGCAAAAGTTCAGGCTCTCTGTAGAGGATATTGTTCCTGCATCACGGTATTTGAGAGCAGCCAAAGGCATGATGAGTGCGTTTCACAACTGGAGGGGTGGGAGCTTCCCAGGTGGTTAATTGTTCTGTTGGTTTCCCTTTTAAGTAAAACCGTCCAAAATAAATTCTCAATTTGGACACATACCCAAATCCGTTCCAGCAGCTTGCCAGATTGCTTCTGATTTGGCGAGTTTGTTGAAAACCTGCTTCCTCCCAGTAAGCAGGCCTTGGACATTGAAGAACAAGATCGCCCGGGTAGAGACACGGATGGTCGGCGACGGCTGCCTTTCGCAAGCAACTCGAGAAGCTGACGCAACGTACTAAACCTGACTGCTGTCATTGTCGACTGTCAATGTCGGCTGACAAGGCATTCCGTTCACATTTATATTTACATTCTGAGCGTGCAGCGACACAAACATCGCCAGCACCTTGGTGTCACATGTAATTTGATGATTGTGCTTTTCTTAGGTCGCAAGAGCCCTCCACACAGTGAAATAATCAGGCCATCGGGTGTCTGGCTCAAGTTGCCCTTGCAGTCCTGAAGGCGGAGCTCCCGAACACGTCAGCCGCAATTCAGAGCTCTCGGCCTCGTCCGCCATGATGCTGGTGAGTATGGGGCTTGCAGGAGCACATGCCCTCGGCATCGCGCCATGCGGCCAGCCGTATGGAAACCTCTGTGATGCCAAAGTGGGCCATCCCCATGACTAGTTGATCACTTTCAAGGGGATCGTCTGGCATCACAGAAGTGGCATCAAACGGTCGCCGGCTGAATCCGCAACCATGCAGCCGGCTGAATCCACAAGTGCCCAAGGCCTGTCCGTTGTGGTCGATGTGATGGTGGATGTGTCGGTCACCTCAGAGATGCACATGCAAATGCTACTCCTCAAGCCCCAAGGCATGACACGCTCCAATGAGTAGCTGGGCTCCTGCTAATCTTGTCATGAGATCTGCCAAGCTGCAGTGGAGGTTGTCGTGCTAGTTCTGGTTTCCGTGGCGGTCTCGGTCAGTCAGGACTGCCGCAAAGAAAACCATAAAGTGGTATGTGCCACTGCTCAGAATGCGTTGAAACTAGAGCGAAAACGGCCCTTATTGATCCTTTTTGACTCTTATCAAGCCAGCCATTTGGCCGGGTCCTGTTTGTTGATACCACGTAAGCCTCCCGCTGTTGATGATGTGGGTGGCCCAGTTGCCTGCATTTTTGCAGCGTGCTGTTGAAACTGTCGAGGCGGAACTCTCGCAAACACTGAAGCTAGGTTCTAATCCACCCGGGTTCTCATGGAACCTCCGTGAAGCTCTGCTCTGAGCAAGGGCTTTGGAATTGCCCATGATCTTTGATGCGGGCGTGTCAAAATGTTTCGTCGGTCAATGCCAAGAATCTGAGCTTGGCACTATGACCTTGGTCGAGGTGTGTGTCAATGTCAGCGTGAAAGGTATGGTCGTTGTCGTCATGGTCACGCTGGTGCCTCGGTACCGTGCTTCCGCATTAGACGCTGATGCGCAAACACATTTCTCGTTCAGACCAAAATGTGTGCACTCCGCATGGTTATTCAATGTTATTCACATCCTATCCAAAGCATATCACATCGCTGCATGACCAAGGGTCGAACCCGAGCATTCTGGACAAAGCACGCAAGTGGCCCAAGTGCCTCGCAGACGAGTAGGCGCAATCTGCCACAAACGACTGCTGTCTTTGAACCGCTCCATCTTCCAGAACTGAGGCTTGGGCACAGCTTAGGCCAGTTATAGAACTTCTTGGCATCATAGCACCTCTTGGTGTGCCACGCATGCAAGAAACTCGCCCAATGTATGGCTAACTTGCTGCATGTTGGTCTTCTGGGGGCTGGACAGCTTCAGGCAAGCTTTCGATTCAAGCTGCATCGTTGTCGTAGCCCTTGGGCGTCTGTCTCATCTACGCTGATTTGTCTTGTGAAATCCTGATCTTGGTTCAGGGCAATCCTTCCGTGGTCGGGCCATTGGCGGCTTCCTCCAAAGAGCCATCTGACTCAAAGACCTGCAAGGTTTCTGGCCACGCAAACTGACGTCAAATAGCTAACTCACTGACTCACTGCCAGTCTGCCAGCCGGTTGAAACATTGAGCCTTCTTGCCTCAAAGCAAAGCCGCTTTTCCAACCGAGGCTCCCCTCGAACGATCTCTGCCCCTTCAATTTCGGGGAGAGGTCTCCGAGGGACCGCACTGGAGCGCTGCCGCCGCCTGAGCCACCTGACAGAGCTGTCACGTGATCATTACTCCAAGATCTTCTAGCAAAGCCAGTCATCAGAAAACTGGTGCCATTTACGGTTGGTGACATGATCATTGTGGAGAGCAATTGTCAAAGGCACCCATGTAACTAAGTAAAACTGGATTCCAACAAGTGTCTTCCAGGCTACGCACATTATCATGTAATTGCTGGAAGCAATTTGGAACCTGCCTGGGGCACCTGTTCCCAAAATGTGTGAATGAACCATGAATGATTTCTGAAATAACATATCGGGGAAGCAGAGTCAAAGGTCGACAAAAACAAAAGAAGTAATCATGGTTCAGCTGCAAAGCACACAATCTCACCAACAAGCGGAAGGGAACCCAAAAAGAAGACATTTTGAAGGCTCCACAGTTTTCACAAACAGCCGCACTCGCAATGCTTCCGCAGCCCGCCTGATTGCTGACCTGTTGCCGCTGAAGTGCTGGGTCGCCTTGTTGTTGTGTTGCCGCGAACCGGCCTGACATTGGCCAAGGCCGAAGTGGCAAGTCATTTGGACGTGTGGCTGCGCTTCAAAACCAGGGACTCTTGTTGGAACAGTGTTCAAACATGAAACCAAGGTAAGCAATTGTGTGAATGGCCCGCTACATTTGGTGCATATATCCGCGCTGTCACCTTCGCAACACCAAGCTCGGGTACGTGTGACTCGGGACCCGAAAGTGTGGTTTGCTTTCGGAGGGGTCGCTTTCACATGGCACTTCGCGCAGTCCTGGGAGTGAAGCTCTGGTCAGGCGCCGACCTCGGCCAGTGGATGCTGAAGAGCCAAGTCTTGCTGCATGCGAGTGGGATGGAACTGCGAAACTCACAAAGTTGTGATCGCGAGCTAAGATGGAACCTCACAAACCCGCATGACTTAACTATTCTAGAGAGCTTATGATATCCAGGGTTTCTCTACCAAATCCAAGGAATTATGCAGCACAACAACAAGTGGAGATAAGCGAGAAATGTTGGTCCGCACCGGCCTCCCATGAGCTCAAGAATACACAACAAGCGTGCCTGATATCTTTAGCAGCTTCAGTGTTTGAGTAACCCCTCTGACTCAGAATAATCATCATCACCAGCATCCGCACCAGCACCAGCACCATTATCATCATCTTCTTCGTCATTAGATGTTGATGCTCGGAAACTTGTGCATGATTGGATTCCTGTAGACTCATGTTTACTCCAGGAAGAAGGAGTCTCCCTTATTTGGCACGTGTTTTCTGGATGCAGCCGCTATCCAGCAAGCTTCAATAGACGGTTGGCCCTCCTTGCTCGAGGCAGCAATCAATAGAACTGTCCGCGTTGCATGAGAAGACTCTCATAAAGCAACCCATGCACACGCTAATAAGAGCTCTCATTGCATTGGCGTGAGGTGCATGTTGAGCACACTGGTAGTTCGACCGAGTCAGTATACTTTGTTTGGGAGTCGCGTAGCAAACGACTTGACAAAGTGCTCTACAATTGTTCATTGATTTGTGGCATCCAACAGATTTCGCCGGTACACTCAAGGTCCGGTCCGAGCCTTGTACGATGCTGCGCGACGCTAGGATGTGTCGTGCGGTTCAAAAGGCATTCCTGCTTGAGTCCTATAGCGAAACCTTGCAACACCCCCAAAGTTGATTCTGGGGTTGTTCCTTGCACCTCGGCGGGCAAGAGCTAGCGCTATATAACATGTTGATCTTGGCTCATGTGTTCCTCCCCCCACCCCAGCATTCTCGGATGTATTTGTTTGCCATCTCTGCCTTATTGAACTTCAGAGCAACATGCTTGTGGGAATTATACATGAGTTTCGAAATGTTGCTCAACATCAGGGTTTGGTGCTAGGGTAGCCCAGTTCTGACAGGGCCAAATCAGGGACCCTGGGCAGCTGTTTGCGGCAAAAAGGTTAAGCTCCGTCACGCATTGGCGCGCGCAAATCTCAGTGGCTGTGCTCCGGGCGTCGTCTCCGGAGCTGTGCTTGGCAGCAGGATGGAAGCACATTCTCCGCCTCGGAACAAAAACAAGCGCGCACCGAACAGCTTACACTTCTCGGTTGGGGACTCCTAGATACCCCGTGCGAAACATTCAAATAGACCATCGGAAGTGCTGGTGATGTGGCTGCAATTCCCAGAAAGAGTTCTATCAATGACACGAATAGTGAATAGAGGTGTTTGTACATGCCCCTTCTGCATTACCCCTGACTATACCTCAGAGAGGAAAGCTAGAGTTTATGCACTCTGCCCAAACAGGGTTTACGACCATTTAACCACGGAATTCGAATCAAGAAACTCCTGAACATGAACAAGCGATGTGCACAACTACTCTTGAAGGCCAGCGTCAGGGGACCCACATTGTTTCTTCCCATCCCATATCTGGTAGCAGCGCTTGGATCCTGGCATGATGCACATGCCGGCCAGCCGCACTTGACGATCCAGGGGTGGCTGTTTTCATAGCAAAAGTCTCCTGCAGTGTTCTATGTCATTCTCGGTGATGGTGAGTCTGACAGCTCTCGCAGTTCATGTGCAAAGCCCGAGGCTAGCACGGCATTCAATTGCTTGCCCTCGTGTGGTGGAAAAGAATGTACCCTGAGCTGAATGCATGTCTGCCAAGGCATTGACATGTCCCCAATTCGATCAAACAACAAAAGCGATCGTGGATTGCCAGATTGCCTCCTGGTACTCTGTCTCTATGTGTGTCTGTCAAATCTACCCCACTCTTGCAAGGGTTAAACAAGAATTCCAAAAGAGTCAGAAGCATCTCTACGGAAGGCACAAAGCACAGCGCTGTGCTCCAGGTGTGCCATTGGAATTTGGAAAAGAAAATGCTGGCAGTCTTGCAGAATGTGAACCTTCGAACCTACGAAGAAACAATGCAAAACATGCCGCTTGAGCGCAGAAGAAAGCTTAGCTGCGCGCTAAACCTAGCAAACTAAGATGGAACTGCTAGCTTTTTGTTGCCCATGTTTCGGCAGTGTTGAGGCCCCAACAGTCCGCGTCGTAGTGTGGGTTGCCTCGGAAAAGTTGCATCACCAAGAGGCTTCGTGCAAATGATATTCAGTCATGATCAGGCTGAGGCTGTATGAGTTGCAGTGGTTGTCGTAGTGCAAACTGGAGGGCCTCGCGTGGATCGTTACGACACAAAACCTACACTATGATTGTAAATACAGCCTGCCAACATTGTGCCAATGTCACCCGACCGACTCAGCGACTCATATTCTTAGGGCGAAACACGATTCCTGCGCCCTGCCTTCAGCCCGATGCCCCCCAGCTGTGGGGCTGTCGAAGTAAGCCTCATGATCCATGCAAAGGGGCTCCAAGGCCTTAGTGCCAGCAGAACATGTCTGTCTGCACATGCCTGTGCCAATAGTGAATGAAGGCTCTGACGTCAAAAATGTAGCAATACTTGCCCCCGTAGTTGCACTCCACTATCTCTACCTCAGTCAGAACGGGCTGCAACTGGTCAATACTATGGCTGCATTTTCGCTGGGACTGCTGCCTCGATTATCGGAGCACAGTATTCTGCCTCCCAAGGGCGAGATGGGCGATACAGTTGCTTTCAGCCGCTGGTGTTGCTTGCAAATTGCAGCTACTTAGAAACTCAGCTCAATGTCCAAAGCCAACTGCTAAAGTGCAGAATCCAAATGACCAACACGCAAAACATAACGTACAGTAAATATCGGATTTTGCTTTGCCAAAATGGCAATCATCCAACTCCAGCAGCCATTGGAATGCAACAAAAATGGCCCAACGGCTGCTTTTGGTGCTTGTCTCTGATAATTGCATGTTCTGGGTGCCGCGCCCGAATGGGACCACTGCATTCGTCCACGGTCTGTTGCTGCGTAACCTTCACACCCAAGTCGAAAATGCATCACACGTGTGGGCTCTGCAGTCGTCTTATCAAATATTCGAGCAACACTCGAGTGATTCCTTCGTTGCTCTCATCATTTCGAGGGTGTGGTCGTTTGGACACCGATTGGCTTCTTGGCCAAGAACCACACCAAAATGATGGCCATGGATTTGCATCATAATGGTCCATAGCCCCTTTCCGCAGTTCCTATGCCGTTCTTGCAGCTGGGCAAAGCAAGCTTGGCCGAGCTTGCCATCCCACTCCCCGCTGTCCGCCTGCAGGACTGCTACCTGAGTTGAGTTGTCACACTGGACACTGCCGCGGCAACCAACAGCTATGGAAAAAACAAACGCCCCTACGGACAAAAGCAGTCCAAGCGGGACTAGTAGGTTCGGCAATGAGTGGCCAAACCGCCGTCTCTTGCGAATACCCAACGTGAGAACACAGTGGAGATGGCAAACCAGTCATGTCTTCGAGTAGGACTAACATAGTCCAAATGCCATTGTCCACAAGAGAAACCTGGCCGGAGCCAATCCTCGAGCTGCTTTGAGGACCCTGCCAGTGTAGCCACGGTCAGCCATACATGTTTGCCATTGCCCATTCCAGCTCATTCGAGTGCTGGCAAGTGCAAACAAAGCAAATTCATTGTGTACTTGCTAGCTTGCAGGTCCCCGTAGATTGAGGCTTCGATGCAGAACCAGAATGCATCATTGACGGGATGAAATTACTTGGTGCGCTCCTCGCAGTTGGTCCTCGTGTTTGGTTTTTGCGACAGGAAAATTACATGGTCCAGGAGGCCTGGTATGCCTCTTCTTGGGCCCATCCACAAGAGCGCAAAGGTACAGCGCGGTCAAAGTCGCTTTCATGCACCCCAATACCACCCCAATCTGATGTATGTATGCAGCTTCATTTGATGCGCTGTCGTACAATCAATGTCACAGGCTGTGAGACAAACAGTTGCTGCGTACCACTCTCGTTCAGGCATTATGGCGTAGCAGCTGCCTGCATTGCGCATCGCCATGAAGCATCTAAAGAAATTGTCATATGCCAGAAAATCAAGGGGCCGGCCATTCTTGCAGTCGGACTGGGGCGTCCTTACGACAGCCGGGACGGAGCAACAACCACCATCACGAAAGGTACGCCTCTTGCATGTGAGAACCTGCTGAGGGGCGTACTTAGTGCTGGACCACCAGACTGAGAATCCTTGCAGCACGCCAACACGCCAACACATTGATCCTTGTCTGGAACGGTTGAGTGTTCGGCTGGTTGCTGACCTTTGCGCAGTGTCCTGGGTGGAACTCATTCAAGAAACAAACATGGACAAAGCATTGATTGAGCCAAGGGCATCTCATATTCGCTGAACACAGCCATATGCCACAGGAAAGCAAAACCTGCGGATTCCGCGTGTGAACAAGAATGTATGTTATCCATGCCAAACACAAAGCAACTGCAGCAGTTGGACATGTTGAAATAGATGCGTTGTTTGACAAGCCTTTACAAAACACAATGTCCCGCAAACATGAAGCAGGAACTGCTGCACACGAGGGTCTGACCAAGAACGAGCTCAGAGATGAGGAGAACTGTCCTGCTGTCCGCAGTGCCAACCAGTGTGCAAGTTGGTGTCATCACTCGCTGCACTCCATCTTGAGGCTGTGGCCAGAGCAAGGAACTAGCGCTTGTGAGAAACAAGCCGCAGGTCTGCTGATCCTGGCAGCTTGCGCAAACTTGGTGAACCACCGAAGCATCGCACGAAGCATCGCACGAGAGCCAGGCATTGCTCTCCAAATGGAAAGTCCAGAAGGATCCCACCCAAGGCATCATGAGCAATACCTGAAATGGATGACATGCCCTATCATGCACAAGCTAGCTGAAATGAGCTGGGCTGATGGCTGCCTTCAACGCCAGTCCAATGCTGGATGTCTCAGTGTGAAGGGCAATGCATGATACACGCGGATCAAACGGGTGGACCAAGCACGGGGCTTTTATGACTTGGTCGTCGTGAAAGCTGACAGCGCCGTCAGCCCAGCCAACCACAATGTTTGCGAGACCTGAGCAGGTGCTCTGCCAACACTGACACATAGATGCGATCCCAGGGTGCTTGCCGAGAACACCGAACCATGTAATGAGACCGTCCAAATCCTGTGCGCGTCGTGGAAATGAGGAGAGGTGCACCAAATCACCCGTATGCTGCAAATTCGTGCCTTTGGGCAACGGTCATCCCCATGTTCTGCTCCTTGGATCTCTTTGCCATGTCATTTCACACGCAAACACCGGAACAAATAAACCATATGTGGTGTCCATTCTCTCAGCTGTGCTGAGCGTGGATTGAGATGTGCTGAGCGTGGATTGAGAAATACTATGTACGTGACCCCCACAACTGGTTGATTTGTCCTTGTTCCCACCGTAAAGGAGTTTCCCAAGTTGAGGAACACGCCATACGGCACGTCGCAATCCTGAAATCAAAGACCCCATGGGCTGAGGGCCATGCCTAAGATGACCAACCACAGGAAGAAACCCGTTGGGAATACGAGCCTGCACGAAGCCGCATCAAGTTTGACAACAAAACGAGCGAAATGACCCTAGGCCCGCTGCGCAACGAGGAGAAGTGTGACTTGCAGCAGGCCCCAAAACGCCTAGGAAATGATCTCAACTGAAAAGCAACACAACACCGTGGTTGCCCAGATTTGCATGCAGCATTGAAGGTGTTTCTTTTTAACCAAGGTGCAGAAACAACGCCAGATTCGGAGTTGCGTTCTCGATGCCAGGCCTTAGAGCCACAAGGAAGGTAAACAGCAGTCGAATAGCTGGCGCCTCCTCAGCTTCTGCAATGGAGGCACGTACGCGATTTAGAACCTGCCAATTTCAGTCATGTACGCTGCTTTGTGCCGAGCCTTCGGAACTGATCCCCAGGTTTGTGTGGTAAAATTCGCAGAAGTCTCCAGTCAACAAAAGGTATGACTCAGTTCACTTGGAGAGACAAAACGACCCAAAGCTCGCAAGCGGACGAGAAGCAGTGCCAATCGCCTCCAAATGGTAGCCCTTCTCTGGCATCCACCGACCTGAAATGAGAATCTGTCAAACTAAGCTGAACGCGTCTGCAAACGCTTTGCTAAATAAGACTAACAGGACACTTGGTGCAGTCCTTGGTTTTGACCGTTTTGGAAACACTGTCCTTCTAGTAAAAAGCCAATATTGCCGAAGATTGCGTGGTTCGAGTCCAGATCCCACTCGCTCAAAGACTCCGGATTTAGCCTCAACGAGCCCCCCACCATAGCACGCTTTCAGAGTGGTGGACCACGGCCTAAATTTGAATACGTCAAAAGGCGAACATGTCGAATGCGCACGCCGAGCTGGTGGCGAGTCAATCCTGACAACGTTAAGGTACCTGTGGCCATGCCAATTGGCACTTTTTTAGTGCATGTATGTCTGCATGTATTTGTACGTCTGCATGCACCTGCAACCTGTACATGCGTATGGGTGTGTGTTCAGCCCTCGCCGGAATTCTCGATGCTACGAGTTACGAGCTTCGGAATGTGTATTGTGCTGAATGTGTTGCTCCAACGGCTGTTTGCATCCTTACTGGCACTCAAAAATATATAGTGTAAAATAAAAAAGATGCCAGCTAAAATGAATTGGATTTGGGGATGTTTGAACATACGGCAACCACATGTTGACTACTCCGAAACGATCTAAGCCAAAAAACATGTTTGTTGGGGACAACCAATATTTGGGGAATACTCCACATGCACGCACACGTCATTCCCGAAAGGTGGTCTGCTTTTACAGGAGCAATGCAGCACCAAGCCTAGGGGATCGTGCCGGCAGAGCCTGGGCCTATCCATGTGCCGCGGCTCGCCGGCTTCCCACCCTGCTTGCTGGATTGGCTGAGCAGTTTGATTGAATCTACACATTCTAAAAGCCGTGCAGTCTCATTCTGGGTATCGTTGTGATTCAAACATATGCGTTGATGTGTGATTCGCATACCTTCGTGTTTCGGCATAGGCGCACCACGCCGAAACTGCCCGCAAGAGACAAGCACGGCCACTTCCTGTGCCGCTGTTGGAAAGGGCTGCTGCTTCATCCAGCACAGCATTCACCTCGCAAGCATCAGGTCTACCAACAGACTTGGGCAAACGCCCCAAGGCGTGCCTCTGCAGCGGGAACTGTATAGCCTCATGCAGCCACATGTTTGGCAGCTGGGCATGGGCCAACGCAAAATGAGTCTTGTTTCTGATGTAGTTGATGTAGCTGTTCTGCTCGCGGCACTCAGCCATCCACCATCATTAAGTTCTTCCAGAAGTTGCTGCAGCAGATCGCGGTTGACAGCTCCTTTTGAATTCACCTGAATGCGGGCAATTTTTCAAGCCAGCCACCTCCGCCAAACACATATCAAACAAGTCCCGGCATTGGTTGTAGCCAAAGTTCTCATGGTGGCCTGTTCATTCCGCACACACCAATCTTCATGGAACTCATTCAAGCATTGATTCCAATCCTGAGGAAGGAAATGACAGCTGTGGTGTGCTCGGAACGCATAGTATAAGTCGCCTCAGCATTTCAACAATGGATCCAACAAGAGCACGTCATAAGCCAAACGTGCATGCATCATGTTGTTTGTATGTAACATGCAAAAGCCCTTGACGGCCACCTCCAAGTTCGTGGCTGGTGTTTGTACACCTGCATTCGTTCTTGGAAAAAAAATTGCAGATCGGGTGGACCAAACCTTGTTTTGCCGCGGCTTGCCAGCTGAAACGTCCAGTGGAGCGTTTCCAGATCAGTATCCTGGCCAATCAAACCAATAGTGGGCATGCCGAGATCACGTTCAACATGTCTGTCAGACTGTCAGGTACGCGGTCACTTGAAGAAAAGTAGAAACTGTTTGCGCAGAAGTGGCAAGCCTCACCATACAGCTCCATCAGCATCTCTGCCAACTCGTCTTCTTCCAATCCAGGCTCCATGAACTCCGCACCTTGCCAGCCCTCTGCCACCCGACGCAAACTGTTGGCAGGCCTTCAGATGGCAATTTGGACATGATGTCACTGATCCGCAGCTCCTGAACCGTACATTGGAGCGCGCATTGGCAGTCGAGTTTCGTGGCCAGCCTCAATGTTCCATCGATCACGGGCTCGCAATCTTTGAGGACCTGCCTGATTGCAAGTGGCCATTTATTCACCGCCCTGCCCCCCCCCCCCAAATGTCCTGTCGACACCACGCACGCCAGCATTTGTGTCGTTTGTTTTCTTGGTAGTAAGGGCAATGATAAGCAGTTTGGCCGATTTGGTACCTTTTGCCTTTGCAGACCCTGGCAAATGCCATTCGGCAGTTTGCTCAAATGGCCATTGCGGCGTGTGGTTCCAACTCACTCGGCAAGTACATAAACCTCCTGGTCTGCGAGCGCCGATCCAAGCAAAGCCCGCCGCGAGGTTTGTTCCGCGCGTGTCGCAGTGCACCATGGAATGATTATTTGCATTGAACAGGTGCTCGCCGGCCAGGAAGTGAAAATCTGGAGGCAAAGCCCGTGAAACATCTTCTCAACGCCATCGGGGTCGAAGGCTGCTGTCTGAGCACACCTTAGGCAAGCATACCGGCATTCCAGCAACATGCAGGATTGCCAACAAGGCATTGGCTGATGGTGTTCTTGACGGTGTTCGGGAACCACGGCTGAGAGGAGAACGCTGCCTAGCCGCAGATCAGACTGCCAGGTTTGCAGACCAACAGATCTGAGACAGCCACTGCTCACCGGCGAAGGGATTCACTCGCTTCTTGAGGCAGGTCGTCGGGCTCGGTGAGAGCTCCTGTTGGCTTGGCATGTGCATGGAAGGTTGCCTGGCAAGGGCTCAACACAAGCTCGCCTCTGCTGCCGTGCTAGCAACTTCGAAGTCGATGTTGGGAGTGTTAGGTGACTGATCACACCTTGGCGCCAGAAATTGCACCTCCGGGCCCTTCGGGATCTGGAGCTGGGCCTTGACTGCCTTCCTGAGTGTCCAGCATGTCCCCGCCAACCAATGCCTGCACAATGCGGCTGTTAACGAGCCTTTGATTCCAAGACATCAATATGGAACCTCCCCAACCTCCCCCGCGCTGGCCCTTCCACGCGCCTCTGCTAGCACTTCTGAGCGCTGCGTTTGCCTGAGGCCCAGTGTGGCCGCCAAGTCGAGCGTGCCCTGCCAAAAGGCGCGTGGATCCTTCCATCCCGGAACAGGGCTGGGATCTCCCACCCACTTTGAATTTGGTCTTGCCCAAGGGGAGGTCGTTTTTGCTCCCCTGCTGGGACACGAAAAATGCAAAGAGGTCGCCTGCGGGTCTGCATCCGGTCCAGACCTTAATCAGTTGTTGCTAGCCTTCCGGAATCAGGCATGGCTATGGATTCCCTTGGCAATGTTCCCCATGACGATGTCCTACATCCTCTCCATGCACCGTCCCCTGTGACGTTGAGTGACCTCTTTTTAACCACAGCACGGGACAACACCCTGCCCATTTGCTTGATGCCCTCATCTAAGAAGCCGGCACCGGAGTTTCTGGAGGTGTTCTCTGGGGTGGTGCGAACTGGGCGTCCGTCCACAAGCCACCCCACCCCCAGCAAAAAGCCTTGGGGAAAGGCCTTGAGGGTCTGCTGGGCCTCAACGACACTCCCCTGACGCTCCTGGCAAACAGAAAGCAAGATGTCCCAGACACTGGAATGCCCTGGAATGCCAACGGCAGATTGCCAAAGCGGACTGCGGAAGTCCTGTGATCGCACAGACGCAGCTGCCACACCTTATTGCAAACAGCAGTGCTTGGGACCGTCGAGTGGCCAATTGTTGACCAAATACCCTGTTTGCCCCAGGAAGGCTTACAATCTCAAAATGGAGGCAGGAGCAAACACTTCAGCATGCCAAAAACAAATGAGGGCGCATGCACGCGCATAGCAGGACGGCAATCAAGTGAACAGCAACATCAAGGAACCCGGTGAGCCTGGCATCGACTCGGCCACACTAAATACTACTAGTATCAGAAAGCTTGAACCCCTCAATCAACAGCCCAAAGTTTATGAATATCTCAAAAGCTGACCTTGCCAGGTTACCTAGATATCTGCATGCGTGCATTCCGTTGGTGTTGGTGTTGGTGTTTGTGTTGGTGTTCGTGTTTGTGCTTGTGCTTGTAGTTGTGCTGCGTTGGTGTTTGTGTTGGTGCTGGTGCTTGTGTTTGCGTTGGCGTTTGCGTTTGCGTTTGCAAGTGCGCGTGCGCTTGCGCGTGTGCGTGTGCGTGCGAGAGTAAGTGAGCGTGTGCGTGTGCGTGGGGGTGTGGGTATGTGTGTGGATATTGTGGATGTCGGTGTGGGTGGGGGCGTGGGTGTGAGTGTGAGTGTGGGCAACGTTGTGTGTGTGTGTGTGCGTGCGTGGGTGTGTGCATGCGTGGGTGCGTATGTGTGTGTGCAATTGTGCTTGTGCGCGCGTGCGTGTGCGGGTGTGCGTGCGCGCGTGCGTGCACCTGTGCGCTTGTACGTGCGTGTGTGCGCTTGTGTGCGTGTCCGCATGTGTGCGTTTGTGCATGTGTACGTGTGCGCGCGTGCGCTGGGCAAGTAATTGAGCGTGGGCGTGCGCGTGGGCGTGGGCGTGGGCGTGTGCATGTGGGATTGTGTGTGGGACAGCGTGTGGGACTGCCTGCAGGACTTTATGTGGGATTGCGCGTGGGGTGTCTGTGTGCGTGCGCGTGTGCGCGCGTGCCTGCTGCCTGCTGCCTGCGTGCCTGCGTGCCTGCGTGCCTGCGTGCCTGCGTGCCTGCGTGCCTGCCTGCCTGCATGCGGGCATGCGGGCATGCCTGCGTGCGTGCGCGCATGCGCTCATGGGCCCGTGCACGTACGCGCGTGTGCGTGTGTGAGCGTGAGTGTGTGTCCCTCAGCTACGACGTGAGCAACTGCCTTTCCTGCGACAGCACCCGTGCAATGGATTAAGGCCCAGAGAATGCAAGGGCTATCTTGATTGAGCGCACTTGCCTTAAAACGAAGTCCCTCACATGATGTACAAATGTGTGTATACTGTATATATGTGTGTATATATGTACTTGGGGCTGGCTGTTTGGCTGGCAATGACACATGCAGCTCTCTCTCGTCTCTCTCAGTCTCTCTCTCTCTCTCTCTCTCTCTCTCTCTCTCTGTGAGACTGTGGGTGTGCGAGTCTGCGTGTTTCGGTGTGTGTGTGTGTTTGTGTCTATAAGTGTGTGTGTGTGTGTTTGTGTCTATAAGTGTGTGTGTGTGTCTATAAATGTGTGTGTGTGCGTACGTGTGTATGCCGATGTGTGACTGTGAGTCAGTGTGACTGTGAGTCAGTGTGAGTGTTACTGTGAGTGCGAGTGTGTGTGTATGTGCGTGTCTGTGTGTTTGTGTGTTTGTGTGCTTGAGTGTTTCTGTGTTTCTGTATCTCTGTGTGTCTGTGTTCTTGTGTTTCTGTGCTTCTGTGCTTCTGTGTTTCTGTGTTTCTGTGGGTCTGTGTTTGTGTGGTTGTGTGTTCGTGTGTTTGTGTGTTTGTGTGCTTGTGCGTTTGTGCGTTTGTGTGTTTGTGTGCTTGTGTGTTTGTGTGTTTGTGCGTTTGTGCGTTTGTGTGTTTGTGTGTTTGTGTGTTTGTGTGTTCCTGCGTTTCTGTGTTTCTGTGTTTCTGTGTTTCTGTGTTTCTGTGCGTCTGTGTTTCTGTGTCTCTGTGTTTCTGTGCTTCTGTGTTTCTGTGTTTCTGTGTTTCTGTGCGTCTGTGCTTCTGTGTTTCTGTGTTTCTGTGCTTCTGTGGTTCTGTGTTTCCGTTTTTCTGTGTTTGTGCGCTTGTGTGTTTGTGTGTTTGTGTGCTTGTGCGTTTGTGCGTTTGTGTGGTTGGTTTTGTTGGTAATTGTTTCTGTTGGTTGTTTTGTTTTTATTTTCATGTTTGTTTTTGTGTTTGTGTGTGTGTGTCTGTGTTCTTGTGTTTCTTTCTGTGTTTCTGTGTGTCTGCGTTTCTGTGTGTCTGTGTGTCTGTGTGCCTATGTGTCTGTGTGTCTGTGTGTCCGTGTTTCTGTGTTTCTGTGGGTCTGTGTTTGTGTGGTTGTGTGTTCGTGTGTTTGTGTGTTTGTGTGCTTGTGCGTTTGTGCGTTTGTGTGTTTGTGTGCTTGTGTGTTTGTGTGTTTGTGTGTTTGTGTGCTTGTGTGTTTGTGTGTTTGTGTGTTTGTGTATTTGTGTGCTTGTGTGTTTGTGTGTTTGTGCGTTTGTGTGTTTGTGTCTTTCTCCATTTGTGTGCCTGTGTGTTTGTATGTTTGTGCGTTTGTGCGTTTGTGCGTTTGTGTGTTTGTGTGTTTGTGTTTCTGCGTTTCTGTGTTTCTGTGTTTCTGTGTTTCTGTGTTTCTGTGTTTCTGTGTTTCTGCGCGTCTGTGTGTCTGTGTTTCTGTGTTTCTGTGTTTCTGTGGTTCTGTGTTTCCGTTTTTCTGTTGTTTTTGTTGGTAATGGTTTCTGTTTTTTGTTTTGTTTTTATTTTCATGTTTGTGTTTGTGTTTGCGTGTGTGTCTGTGTGTGTGTCTGTGTGTGTCTGTGTGTCTGCGTTTCTGTGTGTCTGTGTGCCTATGTGTCTGTGTGTCTGTGTGTCTGTGTGTCTGTGTGTCTGTGTGACTGTCTGTCTGCGTGGCTGTGTGTCTGTGTGTCTGTGTGCTTGTGTGTCTGTGTGTTTGTGTGTCTGCGTGTCTGCGTGGTTGCGTGTCTGTGTGTCTGTTTGTCTGTGTGTCTGTGTGTCTCTGTGTCTGTGTGTCTGTGTGTCTGTGTTTCTGTGCGTCTGTGTGTCTGTGTGCCTGTGTGCCTGTGTGTCTCTGTGTCTGTGTGTCTGTGAGTCTGTGTCTGTGTGTCTGTGTGTCTGCGTGTCTGCGTGTCTGTGTGTCTGTGTGTCTGTTTGCCTGTGTGTCTGTGTGTTTCTGTGTGTCTGTGTGTCTGTGTGCCTGTGTGTCTCTGTGTGTCTGTGTGTCTCTGTGTGTCTGAGTGTCCGTGTGTCTGAGTGTCCGTGTGTCTGTGTGTCTGTGTGTCTGTGTGTCTGCGTGTTTGCGTGTCTGTGTCTGTTTGTCTGTGTGTCTGTGTGTCTGTGTGTCCGTGTGTCTGTGTGTCTGTGTGTCTGTCTGTCTCTGTGTCTGTGTGTCTCTGTGCCTGTGTGTCTGTGTGCCTGTG